AGTGCATTTTTACCTTTTGAGGATGTAGTTAAAATTAATATTATTTTCAATATTAACATGAACTTTGGTCATGAATACATAATCGATGTTGAGATTTCGTCTTTGTAGTTCAAAAAGACACGAGACAATTGATCGTCGATTGTACATCACTTTTTCAAAAATCTCACGTCATGTAGGCGAGTTGTTTGCAATGTCCACAATTTCTATTAACGCTTTACTTCAGTCTCACTACTGTCAACTGTATCTATTTAGAACAGTAATATGGAGCTTGATGAATATGATAAAAGACGGGTTACAGCCAATAGAACATTAAATTTGATGAGTTGGCCCATATCAACCTTTTATAGGAGGTTGAGTAGTGATGATGCCACAGGTATTCAGTGTTTGACAACGCTTCTACCAGTAACACCTAATATATTTCGTTCCAACCCAGAGAAATCAAAGGACAGAGTCGAGGAGATCGGAAGAGTGTATTTGGCGATTACCAATATATCGGAATTCTCTGATCTAATCTGGCTAGCGATTGCGGTTGATGTTGAGCACGGCGTTACCACACGTGATCTGGCGCGGATGCCTGACCGAGCGCCTTCAGCTAGATGAGTCCACCAAAACATATGGTCAGCATCCAATGTCGAAACTTACAGGGCTATTTATTTTGGGGATTTATTTACCGCTACAGATCACTCCCCCCCTAGTGGGTTAGTGATGACCCTAAGACGTGGCCAGCCAGAAGTTTAAATCCAGCGAGTTTGTCGTTGGTAAACACTCTTCTGATAGCTTGCAAGGATTAGCAGCGTCTGGTCGTCTTTCCTTACTATATGGGACCGAGGTACAACATATTAAAAAAAGAAAATGTACAATGAAAATTTCAGTTCCTCCTAAACGTCATCGTTGTTTTCCAGCCGTCCTGGAAAAGAAAAAAGAAAATGTAAGTGCATCCGCACCAAATCACGTGTGGTAACGCCGTGCTCAACATCAACCGCAATCGCTTGCCAGATTACATCAGTGAAATTCCGATATATTGGTAATCGCCAAATACACTCTTCCGATCTCCTCGACTCTGTCTTTTGATTTCTCTCGGTGGGTACAAGTCATATTAGAAGGTGTTACTGGTAGAAGCGTTGTCAAACACTGAATACCAGTGTCATCTTCAAACGTTATATATAATCAACCTTTTACATAACATTCAAGATTCAAAAGTTAGTTGATTGTTATGATATTTGTTTGCTTACTAAAGAGCACCATTTTTTCGTTTTGTAGAACACTGTGAAAGAAATTCCAACATCAAATAAATGTACTTATTCAAAACACATAAGCATTTGTTAAGAATTGGAAGAAGTGATGTATTAATGAGAAGTTTTCACTTCATTAAACTTGAACGAAGATTTCCATTTATCAGACGTCAGTCTTTTAATTACGGTGACAGATCGGTCCTCGTTACCAATTGTAGTTAAAGTGCTTTGGCACTGAGTTTACTGTGCAAAGTTGACAGGAAGAAATGGAATACATGAGTAGAAACTTTTGGTTACCTATTATTGAATCGCCAGGCTTTTCATTGCTATCTGTCAAAAATTGTGGAGAAATATTGCGTTAAAACGATACATTTTGAATAATTTCCCCAAAATTGGGAGATTGGGATGATCTTCAAGTTATCTGTTTACAACGTTCACTCACCTCATCTTTATATTCATTCACTTGATATATGCCCCAGGTAATTATATATATTCATACCACATTTCGTTTTCTGCCTAAGTTCATGTAGATTATTATTTCTTCCTTTTTCACTAATACTTATACATCTATTGATATTATGCACTAAGTTGACTTACTTTTAATTTTGTATGTTCCACCTATGATACCCTTACTTTTCTTTTCTTTTCCAATAACAGTCACAAACTGAATTTATACTCAATTTTGACGTCGCCTGGACAGCCTTCAAGATTATGCATAACCTATTAAAAAGTTGTACATATTACATGGATATTTTTCATCCACCTTCTATGTCTGTACATGTGACAAATCTCGGAACGTCTCCGTCTGGCTAATTACTTAGAAGTAAACTTCTTCAGTTTTCACTTAATGTTTAGCAAGAGACAAAAGTTGTATTTTATTTTATATTACATCGACGTGAGTTAACACCGTAGACAGATATCCAAAGAATTGACAGTATAACCGTCAGATATTTTCGGCTCTGGAGTTGGCTTTTACCAAGTTCAGTCATATATATATATATATCCCAGTTAGACAATACGTATTGATTCATCCACATTTTTTTCGACTGGTTTTCTCCTCATACTCCGTGAAAATATTAATGCAACAAGTGAATGAAATTAATGTTAGTGCCAACCACCAAACCATTACTCAAAAACAATCTATCTCTTGGTAATACGTATAGTTTTCTATTGATCAGAATGCTAAAAGTTTCTAAGTGATAGTGCTGATGTCTGATTGTTGAGGGAGTTCCAAAACCTTGTTTCTTTTGTGAACTTTCATCAACTGACATTACTGTGCTTTCGGCTTATCCATCTCTTAAAGTAGATATCTTCGATGGTGACTTTCGACGTAAGTTATGTAGTGCATAAACATAATTATTACTTGACTATATTTTTGCATTAGTGAGAATGAATGAACATTAATATGGTCAATATTCATTGGCAACTATACGCTGAATTTTATTAAGACCTCAACTTTTTTATGGTTTTTAAAACCCTTCAAAATTTAATGAACATAAAAGCAGCGCAATGTTTAGGTTCGGGGGTAACATGCTCTTAAGGTTTGTTTATTGCTGAGTTACGATTAGGTTTGTAGCTCATCAGATTCAGTTTTTAACATTCATGTTCATAGCTTTCACTAAAAAACCACTAAACATACTTTCAAAGTGAATACTGATAAAACAGTTCAAGGCAATCAACATTACGAAATATTTCTACGTATTATTGTCGGGTGAATATACATGTTTCGTGTTGCAATTGCAATATTAAACGCTGGCAGGAAATTGCTCGTCGTTCTATGGCAGTGCGATGTAGTAGACCTAATCGTTTTTGCAATCATGATTATTTATTTATTTATTTATTTGAACACAAAACATGGTACAAGATGGCACCAAATATATATGCGCCGCACAAAACAACAAGAATAAGAAAAGAAAAAAGGAAGGCAAGGAGCACAAAAGGAAAGAGGAACAACAATGCAGTAATCATGATTGCTGCATGATTCCATTTATTTATTTAAACACATATATTTTAGTATAAGGAGGCACCAAATATAAATGCGCCACATAAGTCATTCGATTTGTGTGAGCTGGGATACTACCCGGGTGTCCAGACAGAAACAGGTGGTTTCCTTAGAGAGTCACACCCGGAGCCTTCAATCTAAAGGTCTAATTCACAAGGCAGTGGAGCATCGTAAGGAGATGCAGTCACATGGTAGCCGGTGACCAACAATTGATTCATACGCCATTTGTTCTTTCAGGATTCTGGAGCCCATGTGCACCATTGGTTTGGAATCAGGGTCTTCCAACTCCCCTAGGTGGACCCTCCGTGTCCACCAAGCCGGTTTAAGCACCGGACATGCGCTCAATTTCGTAAAAAAGCACCCCCGCCATGAGAAGGCAGTGAGTAGGACTTCCTTGGCAGTGGTTGTACGCACGTGGCCATATGAGCGCATTTCGTGAGGTAGAGCTGACTCTCCCCACTCTCGGCCGTACCAGGGCACTTAAGGGCATTGCTGAAGCATTAAGCATGCTTATGTGGGAAGCTTAAAAGTTTTGGCACCAACTTATTGTCTACTCTTTGGACACGTGAAAACGTCTGCGTACTAAATTAATCATAAGCTAGTAATTCGTGTGTTACGAGGCATATGCGCAAACAATATGCTCTATAGTAATTGTATTTACTTGAGTTTCCACCCAACAAGAAAAGGAATAAGTGAAAACATGAATATAAACAATTGTGATGAAATTAGCAATACTCAGAGTTTGGAAACTAAAAGTAGAGTCCCTCTAAGTATTCCTAAATGATATTCCCTAAACAATCTTGTAATTAATGCATTAACATTAATCCCTTGATATCACTTCTGGTTACAGCGTACTCAATCCTTCCAAAATTTGGAAGGTTTATAATAACTGTCCTTAACTTTCTGTTAGAATGAATAACTAAAAGCCAGTCAACTTTTTTTCCGGAGTGTTGTACTTATCATCGTAGCAACTCAATCTGGGAATAAATTGTTCACCTGCTTATTCAACATTAATTTCATATACTGTGTTCCTAATCCCCTTCGCGCGCAATTCTCTACTGTCTGGTGTTGTCTATTGTCACTGCGTTTTCGATCTTTTTATTTTTAATCCACTAGTCCATATTTTCTCGTATCGTATCGTCTATCTAATGTTCCCAGCCACTGCTAGTACTGTAACTACATCTACTCTGGGATTTAATTTGATGGTTTTATCTCTCTGTACTGATGAGGCGTGGAAACTTGCACCGATGTTCCCGTTCCAGATTCTACGTTGCTCATGACTGACCATTGCTTATATAATCGCTATCCGTGGTAGACTATTTTGTTGTTATTCCATAACTGTTTAGCGAAGAAAGACGTAATCGTTTAATGGGTTCCATTTAAAGATATCCAAGGTTTAGTTGAATTGAAGATAATTCAAAATACCAGTTTGTCTTTAAATCCAAACATTTCCAAATGTGTATCCTTTTCAGATTTTATATAAAATAAATAACGGAAGTGCAGTAGAAATACCTTGCCTAACTGACAGTCACTGTGGCTCTTGTTCGAAATGGTTTTAAGTAGTGAAAATGATATTGTTCAGCTAGTCGAATATCACGAATTTACGCTTATTCCATGTGTATCTTTCGTTTCTATATTTCCACAAGTTTAAGCAACATCAGTTAGTCAATTTATTAAAATTGGTGATATTCCGAGCATTACTTTTTGATATCGCGTAATTTTTTACTATCTATCTTGCTCTAGATAAAATTTCGTATAGTCACCTCATGGCTTTAAATAAATATATGCACCAACGAAATATTTACAAACAGAAAAAGCCGAATTTCAAAGAATTGGCTGCAAAGTTCGATTTCTTCGATGCAGTGGCAATAAAAGATGAATGTGGCCGGGTTGTTCTTGACTTTAGAATACCATCTCACTTGTCTGCTTTGTCCAAAGCGTTGTTAATGAATGACTTTGGTTTAAACGTAGACTTTCCAGGCGATCGTTTGATACCAACAGTTCCGCTGCGTTTGAACTATATCTTATGGTTAGAGGACCTACTGAAGAGTAAGTAATCGATTGTTTGTTAATTATCTAGACATTAGATCTTCAAAGATTTTCCGAACCTGTAAGCATCTTGGATATCGGCGTTGGTGCATCTTGTATTTATCCTTTGTTAGGCTCGAAGAAAAATTCATGGCAATTTTTCGGCACAGAAAGTGATACCAGAAACTTTCGTTTGGCCAAAGAAAATGTTGAAAAAAACGATCTGAACAAAAGTATCAAATGTAAGTTGGATATCGCTTGGTTAGGTGCTTTACCATTAGCCTATTGTTGTATATCTTCGTGAAGTAAAAAATCTGATTGGGCCATTGAAAATCAGAAGTTTACGCAACAAAGTCAGACAATATGAGCACGGAAATTTTGCCGTTCAGTTATCAACCATATTATCTGTAGAGATACATCCTAAAATGTTAGGAGTTTGATGGATGGTGCAATAAATAGTTGGTTTTTTACAGACTAGTTCTTGAAAGTTCTCCAAGTGTGAATAACCATTTGTTAAACGTTTATCCCCGAGACAGGAACCAGATCCTCAAGGAGTTTTAACCTTTTCAATAAACTGAATAGTTCATTACTTTTGTCAAAATATTAGCCTTTAGTACAATATCAAGGTTGGCCAATATAGGCTTTTCGACCTCACATATCACTGAATAATGTTCGTAAAGTGCTCCGTAAAGCATCTCATCATCGCTGTTACATTTAGTGATTACGTAGGTCTGTTATATATCTATTTTCGTTTATGGTTATCAAGCATAGATTGGTTAGATGAGATAAGCACTCACTTTCCGTTCCTTAGTGGTGTGAAGTAAATTACCTCTGATTTTTGCAGTTTTCTTTAGTTTTCTTTAAAACATTTTGGTGTATTTTTTGATATTTTAATGTTAGTTTTCAGTACTTGTTTATCTAAATCACCCTGATTTCCTTGTAGTATTTCATATAACTGAGAATACCTCATCGTTGGATGTTGTTTTTGGTGATAAACAAAATACGGCTTATTTGGATGCTGTAATGGCGAATCCTCCATTTTTCTGTGACACATCAGATGCGGTTGGATCTACTACCTGTCGATCTCTTAAAAGGCCACCACCTAAAACTATATCATCTGCTGCTAGGCACGAAAGTCAAACAGTTGGTGGTGAAGTGTACTTTTGTATGCGTTTAATCCGTGATAGTATTCGTTATTCAACTCGAGTGGGGTATGTATACTTTCAGTGTGAAAATAGTCTTGTTTGCCATGTAATTAGATGTAGTGAGATTTATATTTGATTTTGTCATATCATTCAACGTTATCATGAACTTGTATTTCTACTAATCACGAAGGAAATCAAAGTGTTCCATTATTTGAGTAGCATTGTGTAGACGTGTTTCAATTAAAATACGTTTCATCTGATTAACTATTGTTTTGGGATTGATAATATATTTGTCATCTATCTTTTGTGTATCTGCAAAATCTTAGTAAGCAGCGTGTTATTCTAAAATTATCTATTAACCGTACGACTTTTAATCTACGGTTTACAAAACCTTCACGAAGTACATTAGTCAGATGTGTGGATATTTTCTTCCAGTTGTTTTCGACCCATGATGAACAAAATCTTCATAAAACCTGTACATTTATAAATAAAACTTAGGTATTTTTTGACTTTCTTAACCATCCATCTTTCAGTCAAAACTTTTTAATCTGATCTTTTATACGTAAACACTAGAAAATCATTAGCGTCCAAATAAGTTAAACCTTACGAATAAAAGGTATATGATTACTGTTGCAACTCTTTATTGTTTTCAAGGTAGATATCCAAACTAGAAATATGTAAATCTATTATCAGCTCTGGTACCGGCTTCTGTAGTGGTTGCAAATTAATTCATACAACAATGTATTCATGAGTTGTAACTTGTATGTTAAATAATTAAGTGTGAGTCTAGTGGAAGTTACTACTCAGTGGTGCAAATTATGTCGAGTTTTGATCAGTTACTAAATGACATCATCAATCAGTCTGTATTCAGATATCTGCACTACATCGCTGAGTTATATTACATTATGTTTTGCGAAAGGAAGTGTCATGCTGTTTTTAAGGAATCTAATTATTTACCGAACTAGAGAAATATTGGATTCAGCGAAAATTTTCTTTTCGACGAAAGCATTTACTTAAGCTATATATATATATATATATATATATATATATATATATATATATATATATATATATATATATATATATATAGCTTAAGTAAATCATTTCGTCGAAAAGAAAATTTTCTTCACTGGATTCTGTTTATTTTTATTCAATGACACAATGGGTTATTTTAAATATTGGATTCACACGTTTTATTTCATCTCTTTATCCACTGACCGCACCTTTTTCTTTCGCTCATAGATTTCTGCTCTAAATTTTTAATTACATTCGTTGTTCATTTGAATTATAGTGTGTTCACTGTTATGTTGGGTAAAAAATCAAGTGTTTCTTCAGTTCGTCGAATATTACACAAATTTAAGATAACTCAGATATCTGTATATGAAATGTGCCAAGGTCGTATAATGCGATGGGGTGTTGCGTGGACATTTCTTCCTAATTTTCAATTTCCTGTAAGTCTTCATTTCTTTTTTTGTAAACCAATAATTATCTCGCCTTGTTGCTTTTGATAAATAATTTCCCTTCTAAGAAACAGCTATCAGATGAGTTAGACTATTTGTTAAACTGTTCATTTAATCATACTTTGATAATATGTTTGTATTCTTACTATAATTAGGTTGTTTACATTCCGACCTAATGTAATTAACATTTAGTTGAATAGTTTTAGCTTGACTTATGCCCTTAAGTGCCCTGGTACGGCCGAGAGTGGGGAGAGTCAGCTCTACCTCACGAAATGCGCTCATATGGCCACGTGCGTACAACCACTGCCAAGGAAGTCCTACTCACTGCCTTCTCATGGCGGGGGTGCTTTTTTACGAAATTGAGCGCATGTCCGGTGCTTAAACCGGCTTGGTGGACACGGAGGGTCCACCTAGGGGAGTTGGAAGACCCTGATTCCAAACCAATGGTGCACATGGGCTCCAGAATCCTGAAAGAACAAATGGCGTATGAATCAATTGTTGGTCACCGGCTACCATGTGACTGCATCTCCTTACGATGCTCCACTGCCTTGTGAATTAGACCTTTAGATTGAAGGCTCCGGGTGTGACTCTCTAAGGAAACCACCTGTTTCTGTCTGGACACCCGGGTAGTATCCCAGCTCACACAAATCGAATGACTTATGTGGCGCATTTATATTTGGTGCCTCCTTGTACCAATGTTTATGTGTCTAGATAAAAACGAATAAATAAATCATCCATTATCTAACTCTCTATACTCAGACTAAACAATATTCACTGGGCGATTTCGACACAAATGAATTGTATGGTGAATTTGCTTTCATTTCTCACATGTTTTTTTATTACAAAACCTAATACTGGCATATATAGTTGAAGCAAAACCAGCTGTTGCAAACTAGACTGATTTAATTTAAATGAATACTCGCATAAGACACTTCATTCTATTGGTAATTTTAATCAATTTAAACAAATTAAACAACATGTTTTTAAAAAAAATCAGTCCATTAATTGCTTTGTTGTATTTCGCTGGACCATATATATTATCCGGCAAGCCCAGTTAATCCTAAACTTAAACCAGTATTAAGAAACATTTGGTTGTAATGCAGGTTAAGATAAAAATAATTTCAAGGGAGTTTACATTTGAGTGAATAGTCCTGAAATACTGGTGATACTCTTATTACGGTCTATAACAAAAATTACAGGAACATGAGATTAAAGTTGTTTGTAGTAAACTTACTGAATAGTGATCATATTTAGAGAGTGTTGAATGAAGTCATTGACTCTCTTCACTTCTGTTATCAACAAAGTTAACTTATTGTTTAATACAAATACATGACTTAAGCCTCCTAGTCTGTATGATCAATGAGAATCTCTTTGCAGTACAAATATACTGTTTATTGACTTTTTGGGATGCGGCCTTGTGTTACGTACTAAGCAGGTGTTGCACGGTCAGACTAAAGATACTATTGGGACCTCTGAAATGTAACTTCTTCGTACAACACTCGGTAAGTTATAGAGATGCTCACCTTGTCTTTCTGATGAACCTGATTTTGCATGTGTATGAAAGCTGATGTACACTATTGGAGATTATTTGTGAATGCTATTCTTTCATGTCATTGAACACATTGTACATGAAGAAATTAGTAACACTTCGGGCAATGTTCTACTGTATGTTAATTTTGACCTCCAATTAATGTTTCTCGTGATTCAACCACGTTAATACCACTCGAATAAACCCATACTTCCTGCGTTGAAGTTTATTCACTTTGGTCCTTGTACACTAACCACTATCACATTACTTTCCTCAATAAGAATTAATCGCTTGCCATTTTTATCGAAGATAAATTCTGATTGTTAGACAATTAGACCTTTCAAAATCATGGTAATATATTTAGACTTAAAAAACATTTTTATAATTTTGCTTTAAGGAATCTGATTTCCGTCGACTTCGTAAATTAGAACGTCCTCCATTAACACTGCAACTGCCGGATTCAGTATCTTGTCTTTCTGAAAATACAGTAGATGCTCTTTTGGACTGGTTGAGATATGAATTTAAACAATTAGGTGTAAGTTTCAAGAAATTATTTGGTAATTTGGTATGATTACTTCTATTACTCCTCCTGAAAAAGCATAAGTCACCCACCAGGATTCTCCATCCAACTCTGCTCTCGGTATATCCTGTCCACCTCCAACGTCTTTTCCTAATTTCCTCTTCAGCTGGCAGCTGGTTTGTTCTCTCTCACAGTAGGCTGTTGCTGATAGTATCCGACCAACTGACATTCAGTATCTTACGTAGACTTGTGTTTATAAATACTTGTACTTTTTTTATGGTTGTAGTAGTTCTATTTTCAGTTCCATACAGTAGAACTGTCTTTACGTTTGTATTGAAGATTCTGGCCCCCAAATGCCCTGGTATGGCCGAGATTGGAGTGGGTCCGCCCTCCCTCTCGAAATACTGTCACACGGCCACGCGTATACAGCCTCTGCCAGGGAAATCCTACTCACTGCCTTCTCGTGGCGGGGGTGTTGTTTACGAAAATGAGAGGACGAAAAGAGAATGTCCGGCGCTGTAACCGGATCCCAAACCAATGGTGCACATGGGCTCCAGTATCCTGCGGGAACAAATGGCGTATGAACCAATTTTCGGTCACCGGCTACCATGTGGCTGCATCTCTTTACGATGCTCCACCGCCTTGTGGGTTAGACCTTTAGGTCAAAGGCTCGGGGTGTGGCCCCCTAAGATAACCACCTGCTTCGGTTTGGACACCCGGGCAGTATCACAGCCCACACACAAATGATGAACTCTTTATGTCTATGGAAATTACTTTTCTCGCTTCGAAAAACAATCAATTGATTCAAATTATTATCATTACAATTATTGTCATTATTAATACTATTATTATTATTACTACTATTGTCATTATTATTATTATTATTATTTTCCACATTATTCACCCTCCTTTATACTTATACAGAGGCTCGTCTTTGGTGGAAATTCGACTGTATCTAAACGTTCTCGAGTCACTGTCCGGTTGAAAATTGTATGTTACCACCGAATACGAGAACTGAAGCAGTTTTTCTGAAACCACGTGCACCATTCAAACTGGCTGCCTTCAACGTTCGCACATTTATGCAGGTCGGACAACAGATAGGGCTGGCTATGTCTTTGGAAAGTCTTAATATCGATGTTTGTTGTCTATCCGAGACCCGTATTCAAGACTCTGGTGAAGTACTACAAATTCGATCTCCATCTGTCGCTTCAAAAGGCTTGTTTTACGTGCGCTTATCCGGGGACCCTGTGGCATCTTCGTCTGGTCTTGCTGGCGTTGGTGTCGCACTAAGCGCTAGAGCTGAGGCAGCACTAGTCGATTGGATCCCCATTAACAGTCGGTTATGTGCTGTTAGATTAGAAAGTTCCATCAAAGTGAGAAGAAATCGGCGTGAGAAACGATGTCTTTTCGTCATCTCCGCCTATGCCCCGACAGATTGCAGCCCGGATGCAATCAAGGATGAGTTTTACCACCAGTTATCTGTTCTTCTCCAGAAAGTGCGTTCGACAGATATTGTAGTACTAGCCGGAGACTTGAATGCTCAGGTCGGGCGTCTAGGCACAGAAGAGAGTCGTTTAGGTGGCCGATGGGGACTTGTTGGTCGCAGGTCAGATAACGGGGACCGTCTACTGCAACTTTGCACAGACCACAACCTGTTTCTGGCTAGCACTAACTTTCGGCACAGTCGTCGCCGATGTGCCACCTGGCGTCCTCCCTCTGCATCTCAAGCCTGGACTCAGATTGATCACATCGCGATCAGCTACCGCTGGCGTGGTTGTGTACAAGACTGCCGCTCCTTTTGGAGTACCTATCTGGACTCTGACCATGCCTTGGTCTGCGCCAATCTTGCCTTACTTTTCAGTGGACAACGAAGTGACCGCCATCAACGGATTGATATTAGCAAGCTGGTTGCAACTTCTGTTGCAAGTAAGTATCGAACCGAGCTAGCCTCTAGGCTAGCTACCACTCCACCGAAAAGTATAGATGAGCATTGGTTGCAATTGCATGACGCCATGAAAATGGCGGGAACAGTCAGTTGTGGGTTTGCGAAACGTCCCGCTTATAAGCACTGGGTTTCTTCTGGTTCCTTACAACTCATTGAAGCCCGTCGGTCTACTCCGGGTGACCGTGAGTTTGACCATAAACGTAGGATGTTACGTAAGAAAATTGGGCAAAGCTTGCTTAAGGACCGAGAAGCCTGGTGGTCGGAGAGTGCTAATGAGCTGAAAGCAGCAGCTGCATCCGGTAATTACCGGAAGCTCTTCCAACTGTCCAGGTTCGTGAAAGTTTCTACTCTTCCAGAGCTTATCCATCAAGTGTGATTGGATTGATGCTCTCTGTGTTGTATTTGAGGATATTGGTTTTTCTCTTGTGTTTGTCGAGGCTTGCTGCTACACTGACTATCTTCACCTGCATTTGTTGTTGTGAATGGAGTAGAAGATCCAGATCATGTGTGAAGTCCAAATCTTCTAGTTACATGCAAACTGTCCATTGTACCCATGTTTATCCTGAGATATGAAGGTCTTCATAATCCAGTCAACTACCAGAAGACAAAGCAAGGGTAAGGAGTTTTGTCTGACACCGGTCTTCACTTCAGATGCATCTGTCAGCTGTCCTCCATTCAGGACTTTTCAGTGTAGTCCGTCATATGAATTCCGTATGATGTTGACGATTTCCTCAGGCACATCATATTGCCTATGGTCCTCCTATCCACACTGTCAAACGATTTCTCATAGTCTAGGAAGCTGATGTATAGTGACGAGTTCCATTCAATTAATTGCTCAACAATGATGATAGAAAGTGAAGTAATTGAAAACATCGACCACCTCACTTATCTTGGGAATCTCATCTGTACTGATGGTCTGGTGTCTGACGAAGTGTCGACACGGATCCAAAAACTATTGGCTTTTGCGACATACCCGTCTTCCAACCAAAGGGCGAGTTTACTGCCCAGCAGTTCGTTTCATTCTACTTTCTGGGTGTGAATCATGGGCTTTAAGAAATAGGGTATATTCTTAGGTTAATGGTATTCAATCATTGGTATCTTCGAAGTATTCTTCATGTATTTTGGGACCACGGAGTAAACAGTGCCTGTGTTGGTGATAGGGTACTAGGTCAGGGTGGCAACTCGACTGATGCGGTAGTTATTAAGACCTTATCAACTAAGGTGGTCGGGACATGTTATTAATGCCCAATTATCGACGGGCGATGTTGTCTGGTGTAGAAGTATTCTGAAAAAAAGCTATGAGCGGCGAAATTAAAGCATGCTATCGGTTCATTAAGTCATTATGGATTGGACTGAGAGCTATGTTAATAGGTGTAGACTATGTGGTCGGGGTCCGTGTGATTATCGTAGCCAGTGGCTATAGACTTTGAATGACATGGCTCAAAATCGTTTGTAAAGGTGCAGGTGTATCCATTCTTCTCCTAATCTTTTGAACTCCTCATAATTTTTTATTTCGTCAATCTATGTTTTCTCGAATCGTATCTTCAATGCTCTATTACCACTGATGTTGCTACTACCTCTATTATTTTGGGATTCGCTCCGAAAATTTTAACTTGCTCTGCTAATGGGTTGTAGAAACTTGAACCGATGTATGTGAGTACCAAGTCCTATGCTGCGTTTGACTGATGTGTTCATCACTAATGGTCATTAAATATCCAAAAGCCAGGTACACAGTAGTTGATTGAACTTCCGCTTTGAATTGGATTACATTATAACAGACTCAGTTATCCCAATGGTCATCATTCTTCTGTGGTGTCTAGTTCTAATCAAATTCTATCATCCCAGACATCGTATGTGTTTATTGAGCTTAGTGGCACAACGTGCTGTTAGACGTTTGTAAGAGATTACCTGAAACTTTCATACTTTTTAGTGTTGGTCAACACAATTAACGTATGGTCTCTCTTAATTACTCTTCTATATTATTTCAGCGCATTGGTTATTAAACACTGACAATCGTTCACCGTGATGAACTATTTATAAATCCCTATATTATCTTATTTTTCTTTGGCTTTTTAGATGAAAGTATTAGATCAAAAAAATCGTGCTGAACTAGGTGGTCTGCATTTAAATATTACAGCAACAGAAAACACGTGGACCCATACTAGGCGTAAACGACGAGAAGTTCAACGTCTTCTAATGTCTCAACAATCGGATACGATAAACAATGGAAATCCAACTAATAATGATTCTGTATCCAATGAAAAAGATCCCATGGAATGCGGTTTTAACACAAATACGGTCAGTTTTAAAAATCCTTCAAAGCGTGTACATGATAGTAACCCAGATGAAGTGAATAATTCATCGGAATCAATCACACAAGCAACAGCAGAGACAAAACTGAATAGTTCTGTGGTGGAATTGGTAAATCCACCAAAACGAACGCGAGCAACACTTCATGATGAAATCTGTGAAGAAGGTGAAGACGCTTGGTTTGATGGAGATGAATGTGAGAATGCTTCAGTTAACAAAATTAATACGTGTTCAAATAATGAATCACCATCTACTGCTATCGACACTTGCTCACATGTGATTCAAGCCAATGTATTTGTTGAGTATTTAAACACAGATTCATTTATTAAAGGCGTACATGCAAAATCACCTTTATTTCCACATGGAATCAACAACAGTGACGAAGTAATGCTTAATGATAGCATTGAATGTGGTCAGACAATTATAAAAGTTAAAAGTGATATAGACGCTAGTGATGATGACGATGTGATTCTTGCTGAAGAGGAACATGGACCATTGGTGATAAAGATCGCTTGGATAAGTGGGACATGTCGAGAGGCAGCTAATCAAATTTTATTTTACTTAAAAAACCGTTTGAAGTGATGTTCTACTCTATATTCCATTTTTTTTCACCATATCTGGCTGGAAGAAAATAAAGTACTTTTGTAAATAAGCAGTTGCATTTATTTTGTATACATGTTTCTAGCGAAGTAGTGTTATTATATGCTATTGTCATTATTTTTGTACATTAAATACACCAAGCTTCAAAAATAAGCAGTGATTTTTCATCATTTTGAGGTGAAATAATGTATATGTTACAGTAGTAATCAGCGATTCCATTTTTCTAACATTATGGATTACTTAACAGTAAAAAACTGCCCCACCAAGTCGACACTGTTAATGGCGAACGCTTTGTATATCATGTCAGTCACCATGCATATTATCATAATAGCAAAGTAGATATACAGAAGACAATCGATATTTTCATCCAGATTGCTAGGTAGAACCGAAATCTTTTTGGACACGCTTTGCTGGGGAAGTCGTTTGGGTGTTGATTGAACTTATATTTAATTGCCTACGAGTTGCATTTTGTTGAATCCTGAGAGAATAATTAAGAAACATTCACATTCTACACGTTATTCTGATAGGGTTTTTAACGTAGTAGCAAATAAAATGATTGACAGAGGGTATTCAATCGATTACTGATGGTAAGTTGGCCGAGATTTGTAGTTGAAGAGAATAGTTTTCCTGAAATTGTGCTCTTTGCTTTGGGCGTTTAAGTCGCGACGCTTTCATTGTCATCCAAAACAAAGTCATTATAAACCTCAGTTAGAAGTGAGCTGTAAGGAATTCTCTGAGTGACTAGCATCTTGTCACATAGACCTTGGAGTTGACTGATTGTTGCCGATACGTCCCAACGTCTGCACATTTACGCTGATTGTCCGCCCTTGATCTTATAGTTGTTTGTGACTTTTCTAATTTAGTATCAAGGCCCTAGAAACTCGTGTTTTGCTTTTGTCCAATATTTCAAGTTCCTCCTAGTAGAACCTTAAAGTTATCTACATGTGTTGATGTAAGTGAAGATGTATCATAGTGTTTGATAGCCAACGAGTGTTTATTTAGAGAACTATCAAAAGAGCGGTCGCTCTGGCTGATGAGATGATTTTCAAAGTTGGGATAGTATATTTCGCAGTTGTTCGGCTTGTAGTCCTCTGTTATTTCGTTTAGCATAGAATTGATTTAGCTGAGTTGTGAATGACGTCTTTTAATCTGGTTGTATTCGCTGTCTTTAATATGTGTTAGGATCATCCGTTCGCTGCCTTCCACACTTAGTTCTTTGATAAAGTTGCGCGTATATCCGTTCTTCCGGAAAAAATTGCCAGATATCTTCATTTCTACAGTGTATCTCCACTCTTCTAAATAGAGTCTATCCTTAGTTGATTTGGTAGATGTTTGCTGATATAGTAAAGGATTCGATCTTCTGGGTTGTTCTGTGACAAACCTGAGTCTCAGGCTGAAGTTTATAATTACTTTACCACTAGTAGGAGCAAAGATTTTTCAAATTCCTTCATACTATGTCTAACGTTGAAAATAATACGGTATAATCCGAATAATTATAGTTTGTAATGTCTAGTGGGTATGCTACAATAATTTATTGTTTAATGACTGATAATAGACACTGCTAAAAGTATATCCGGGATGGTTATCCTGGACAAGTTTTGAATATAAAATACCATCTAATTATGCTCCAGAAAAGATCGATGCGATTCTGATCGGATATGTTCATAGTTATGTGTAAATGGTGTAAAATCGGCCCTAAATGGTATAGCATTTTACCGTGGTTCCACGTATGATTCTTGTGTGATCTGCAAAGGTGATCCTGACGGGAAAATTAGTTATTTGGGTGGAATTTTAGATCATGGGTTGCCTAATTGATAGACTCCACACAAAACAAATTTAATCTTTGTCCAAAATATCACTCATATCTATAGCTATCACTTAATATTTTCCCAACTAACCAGATTTTACTGGAAACAAACTAGTTCGGGTGATACTATTTTTTAAATAAGATGCATTGAATGTTTTCCTTACCGTAATTGACCCTGTTCATTTGAACGCAACGAAATGAGTTACTACCACAAATAATATAAAGCTCAGGGGTATTGTAATTTTTATTTAGATTTTAGGTGAGTTAGACGGATTTTTTGATTAATTTAGTGTAGCTTGTTAATATTATCTAACTTCAGCAGTTGAGTCTTTGAAAAAGTCGCTTAGTGGTTGAACAAATCAGGTTTCATACACTAGCTTTCCCGTAAGAACCCTGGTCCACCTAATTCAGTTTGAGTAGCTGGATAGCAGTATCTCAAGCCTTCATACAATATGGCTCAATGTTGAGTGCATAAACATCTACTTGATGTTAGGTGGTAGTCCACAGGAAACTCCAGACCTACGTTTTGTGATAGTTGCAACTTGTCAGCAAGGCTACCTGCAATGTCGAATATATTGTTGATCCCTCAGTATTTTGAGCCCATGACATTTAATTGGTAAGTGAGTTGCATTCATATTTAAGCGACTAACTCTCCAGTACATCCCATACTTATTCGATGGGGAAAAACTAAAGTATTCTATTGATTAACGTTTATGTGCAAGTATAACGTGAAACTGAATTAGCAATTGCCTTATTCAAAAGAATCGATCAGATTCACGTAATTTATGGATAATAATCTTTGTAAGAAGTAGAAACATTTATCTAGAATATTTGATATTGCAGATAGAACGTCTTGTGTGGATAGAGGAAAAAACATTTCCAAAAAATATGTATTCAGATTTTTTTCTCGTATTTTACAAATGTTATCCGGTACAGAAACTTTCATGTCAGCTTTATGTGATTACTCTGTATTAAAAAAATATGGTTCTACATAGATCGATCGTTTGCTTATTTAGAAGAGAAAAGAACTACGAAGGTAGGTGAAATAAATAATTTTTGTAAGGTATAAAATGAACAAAAATCATTACTTACACAGGACGAAAGATGGAACAAAGAGTAAGAGAGGGATACAAGGGATGTGCAAGTGCATTTGTTAGTGCACACAGGAAGAAAATAGATAATCATTCAACTCCAGGGATTAGAATTGGCGAGCTTGGGTGAGATTTTAAACAAATCAAATGATTTCTGGTTAGTCTAAAAGTGATTGGTACTTATCACAATATGTTTGTGTGGGTATATGCAAGTGCATTTGTTTGTGTAGACCTATAAGGTGTTACTGCATATAGAAGAACAAGAATTAATTTCATTTAAAGAAAATGAAGGGTATTCTTTCAAATCACCTTTTAATCTTATCGGCCGCGTTTTACTCACGGTAGCCTTAAAAATATTCCAGCTAATCTACTCCAGTCAATATCATCTGCGACTTGAATTTGTGTTTTTGTCTCCACGAAATGTATCAATAATTGATCGATCAACTGATCTAATCTTGATTTAGCTGAAAATTTATTTTTGTGGAGAAAACTGAATGACAAAAATCACGAGGTAATACTTTTTAAGCAAATATGTCATAAGTTTAGAATGAAAAGAGCATCAATCTATTTGTTAGTCATTGGACAGGATCGATAAAGCTATCAATAAAGGCGTCAAACGAAATGAAATGATAATATTACAGTGAGAGGATAATCATTTAGAAATTAGTAAGATGATAAATTTTATGATGACATGTTTTGAATACCATGAGTGATTCGGTTCATTCAGTAAGTGAATCCTACTATTGATAAGGTAACCTAAAACGAAACTACACCCAGTTTGCTACTGGTTTCCTTTATGAGCTATGTTCGTTAATATATGCGGTTACTGAGTTGCTTGATTTATAAGATCGCAATGGCAGCGAATCCCAACTCGATACAATCATACTTTAAACGCAATATCATAAATCAATCATTTTTACTTTTCTACCTGGTATATACTTCAACAGATAGTACTTCGTATGGGATCCACTAACATTGACGTTTCAAGATGATATAATTTATTGAAACATCATCTCCACTAGACTGAACCTTACGGTGGATCCTTCTGCCAACTTATACGAATAATAAATTTTTGCGTTCATATGCCTTTGACACTGACAGTTTATGTATTATTCTTTAGCATAGTTTACATAATATTGTGGTGTTTGAATGAACTAATGATTCCTTTGTACTTGTTGAATGCTTGACTTCGAATTCCAAATACAATACATTCATTCGTGCTTACCTAGTACTTCTTGATTCGATTGCGTTATTTCTGGGATTCTTAGTTCGTACTATAATTCAAATACTCCTAACTATCATAAATATCCAAGGCACGTTTATTACTATGAACCAACTAATTTAACTAGTAATCAGTTTGACACAAAGAATCCTTCGCATACGGAAATAATTAGTGAGTATAATTTGTTTTGACAGGCTCTAACATATTGCAACTACTGACATTTAAAAATGTTTGAACTTTCTTTGACCTTCAGTTAAAATTTTTGAAGGAGGACAGTTTACATATTTCAGCGGTCAGCTTATTCAATCGTATCCCGGTGATAAGTCTATACAAGAGTATACAGTAATATTTTGTCTATATATTGGACATATTCAAATAATAAAAACAAAAAACAGAAAGAGAATCTTACTGAATATGTCGACTTCATGGTGTGTGAGCAGCTTTCGAGTCAATTTCTTGGCGACCGATTTGAATGCATCCTACAGTATACATAAATAAAAATACATCAAACAGATCCCTATTATTGTATTGAATTCATGACTAAAAATAATCTCTGTCGAAGTAGTGACAAATATCAGGTTACTATTATCAACTTATAAATTGGACGATATCGTAATTATAGAAACATGAAACATTGCTTGTTGTTTCTTTCTTTTCCTATCAGTTATTGAGGTCCACATTGCTTTTAATAAGGTGATTATCATATATTTCCCAACGCTATATAAGTACTATTTAACCAGAAGTACTTGTTCATAAGTTTTTATTTCCTCGAGACAGTAAATGTATTCTTAGAAAAGTTAGTTTTCACATTTTGTATCTATATACCGAGAAAGTAGTTTTATTAGGTACGAA